CATTGTCTCCTGGATTCAGATTTTAAATTACCTTCGCATTTATTGAGCATGTTTGGTGCTTTTTTCTGGGAAAGAGGGTGGGGCCTCCCTTTGCTTATTTCTCCCTCGCCCAGAGCGTTTTTCCTTGTGCCATCAGTGTCGGATTTGGCTCAATTGCTGCGCTCAGACGGTCACACAGAGTTAAAATCCCGGGGATGAGAGGTGAGGCCGTGCCCGGTGCAGAATTGCAGGGAGTTCAGAGCTGCTGATGCTCCAGCGTGACCCTTCCCTCCCGATCCTGCTCTCACAGCTCCACTTCCCCTTCCAAAGGGATGCTTGGTGCATTAAGTTCAAGTGCAGGGCAGGGAACTGCGCTCTGAGCAAACACAGCTGCCCTGAATCCCACAGGAGCTGCGGCCCCACAGAGCCTGGAGAACCTCATTTCTCCCACTTTGGGAATCTCAACACCCTCATCCAAACCCCAYGGGAGTCACTGGGATCTCTGCCCGCTGCTGGTGACGAGGGGAAGGCACCGAGGTGACATCCCATGAGATGTCACCACCACAACCAAGACTGAGAGCCCAAAATCTCCTCCAACCACGACAGCAGCCACCCCTGCTGCAGAACTGATGGGATCTGCCCTGCCAAACCCAGATCCACTCCAGACCTGTGAAAATTGCTGAGGAAAATGTGAGTTACGGAAAAAACATCAACGAAGAGGATGGTGGAGAAGGATCTGTTCCTCTTTTTTTCCAAGCAGGGCTCTCTGAGAGCAAAAGTGACCAGTGACACCCGAGCAGGGACCAGCCAAGGACAGCTTGGTAGCACAGAACAAGCCACATTTAAAATAAATATCAATTATTAATATTAGAATTTACTCTCTAAACAAACAGGCTTGTCAGGAGCAACCCCTGTCTCGCCCTAAAACACCAAAATCGTGCTGGTTTTGGGTACGTGGAAGCCAGAGAGAAGCACCAAAGTGTCCCAGCATTCCAAAATCTCAGCAGATCTCAGGTAAACCCCGCAGGAGAGGGCAGAGGTCGAACCCTAAGGTGCTGCACAAGATTGGTGCCTCCCAAAATACAGCTCTGAGGGAAATGGGGAAATGTAACGGTGTCTGGTCCTGAAGAAGCATCGAGAACACCAGCAAAGCCACACAAGAAAGCTGCAAAAGCCCAAAGCAACCCAATAAAACATCAGCCAGGACTGCTGGAATTTTGTTTCTTCCTCCTCCCTCTGTCCTTGCTTTTTTATCACCAGAATATATTAAAAAGCTCCATAAAACCCCAACCCCAAACCACCAACAACCCCAAATCACAAAGAAATGAACCCAAACTCTCTTAAAAGCCCAGGAGAACCTGCTCACCACCAAACCYCACATTTCCTAAAAACAACAGCAACAAAACACTCCTGTGACTAGAGAGCAATGCAGCAAAGCTTGATAATATCTAACTTGAACAAATCCTCTATTAAATATGATTATTCTTYTTTTAAACAGAGCACCAAGTGACTTTTGAAGGGTTTGAAATGGCTTCAGCCCATCTGACATGGGAAGAGCTGCGCTGCAGGAGAAATGACCTTTGCAATCACAGATGGAAAACTGGATTTTTCCAATCTCAATCTCCCAAGCTGAGCTGTGCCCCAAAGTGCTGCAGGAGCCCCCAGCACCACCAACACCCCAAAAAATCCAGTTCCCTTTGGGCTGGTGTGTCCTACAGGTGACAGACCATCAAAAGGCCACCTCAAAACAGGAAAAACTTGGATAAAACTGGATTAAAACCAGAAAAACACCCCTCACTCTGATCTTTTTTACATATGTGACCAATCAAGCAAACTATCATTTTGTTTTCTGATGGCAGCCTCTTTTTCCAGYTCTTGAATGCAGGAGGATAATTTGTACATCTCTGCCTGATTTTTGTAAAGTCATAGCCTTTGTCACAAGATGTTCATAAAAAATGCAGCTGTTATTTGAGACAACTTCCAGGAGAGTTTGGGAATTCTCAGCTGCTGCATTCATCTGCTTTGGGGAAAGAAAAGCAGGTTTGCTCTTTTCCAAATTAATTCCCTGCTCCGAGGCCTGAAAGGTCAGGGCGAGGCGACAGCAACAAAGGAAAAAAGCGTCCACCTAGAATAAGATGCTGCCATCAGAGCTCCCCCAGGAGTAATCAGAAATAATTAGATAATGTATTTAAATTGTCCTTTTTTCTTAGCCAAACAACAGAAAGAGGCTTGGTGAGGAATTATTCCTCCAAAACCCCCCAAATATCCCCCAAGTGCTCCAGSTCCCCTGGAAGGTGAGCTGGGAYRGGGACAAAGGGACAGGGACCCTCCGGGGGTGGGAGACAAAGCAGCCRAAACCCCTCAAAGAAAAAAGATCTGCAAAGTCCTGCCCTTGAAGGCCCCAAAGGGTCAAAGGAAACTTCCCTTTCTTCTGTAAATGAGGAGAGAGGGGGGGAAAATCCCACCCTTGGATTTGAGGCTGGCAGGGGGTCCCCAAAGCCACCCAATCCCGCAGGCATGG